GAGATGAGCAGAATGAGCTGATGTGCCCACCACAAGGCTGAGCCTCTGACCTGCAGATCAGCCTCCTGTGCTCCGACCACCTGAGTCCACAGCCTTTCTGGGTTACATCTCCTCTTGTCCTTTGCCCTGTCCAGGTCTTGCCTTGCCAGGAGGACCATAAGCCTGTTGAAGGCAGAATGGGTCAAATTTTTCTTTCATCCATGATAGCACTTTGCACAGAGCTGAGTCCATAGCATAGAACCACCTGTGGGTGGTTCTCAGGAGCCCAGCAGTGGCCCTGGTATGAGTCAACCGAGTTACCTGCCACTGAGTAAGCACCCCCAAAGTGTATTAAAACATTATTTGTGTATTTCCTTGGTAAGTTCAAACACTTAAAAATATACTGTAGTTTCAATATCATATGACATCACTTATATGTAATCTAAAAAAAAAAGACACAATTTCACTTATTTTCAAAACAGAATAGACTCACAGGCATAGAAAGCAAATTTATGGTTACTGAAGAGATGGGGATAAATTAGGCATTAGCAGGGATTAACAGATACAACTACTATGTATAAAATAGATAAACAATAAGGACCTACTGTATAGCACAGGGAACTGTGTTCACAATCTTGTGATACCTGTAATGGAAAAGAATCTGAAAAAGAGTATGTGTGTGTGGGTGGGTGGGTGGGTGGGTGTATGGTGACTGCAGCCATGAAATTAAAACATGCCTGCTCCTTGGAAGAAAAGCTGTGACAAACCTGGACAGTGACATATGTGTGCGAATAACTGAATCACTTTGTTGTACACCTGAAACTAACAGGAAATTTGTAAATTAGATATACTTCAATTTTAAAAAGTGGTTTAAAAATGCTGTAGTTTCATCTCCTCACTCTGATATCTGTGAAGAATTCTCTTGATTATTTAAAAGCAAGATCCTCAAGTACTATGTACTATGTAAAAGTACTAATAGTGTTTTTCTGAGAACATTGTTATATGTTGCATGGGTCAGGATTTTATTTTGTAACAGAACTTGGGAGTCACTTACTAATCTATGCCTTATTCCTAAGAGAGGTTGTTTTTATAACATTTCTCTTTTTGGACTGAAGAGAAATACCAGAGGTGATGTGACTTGCCTAAAATGCCATGGGAGCTTGTCAAAGAAAGCTGAGCTAGGGGCCTGTTTGACGTAAGGGCAGTGTACTCACGTCATCTCTTTGTGTTATCACTGGGCACTTTATTTACGATGTGAACTGCTACTTCCTACCTCCTTCCAAAAAGGATTTAGGACAGAGATAAAACTCATGTCAGAAACAAAGTGATTCTTCTGTAAGTCTGGAATGCTCCCCTGTGACAATCTGAAATGTGTTTTAAAAAGTGAGGTGTGGGTTTGCTTATTGGAGAGTCTATAGGAATATCTGCAGTCCCTTCTCCCCCAGATGTGGATTCTGCAGATTAGAGTTCTTGATTGGTGGCACATTAGTGTAAGTTTGAGGCTTGGGGAGGGAGTCCCACCCTTGGTTGGTGGCACTTTAGGGTAAGTTTGAGGCTTGGGGAGGGGGTCCTGCCCATGGACTCGGAGAGTCTCCTGATCTCTGTGCTTGGCATTCCTACCTGGACTCTTGCTGTCACCTGATTACTGTGATCACCTATTTCAGTGTGTTTGAAATGAGTGATTGCAAAGCTGTTTAAGAATACTGGGTCAAGGACTTCCCTGGCGGGCCAGTGGTTAAGACTCTGTGCTTCCACTGCAGGGGGCTCAGGTTCGATCTCCAGTCGGGAAACTAAGATCCCACATGTCATGCAGCAAAAAAAATAAAGATGCATGGGATTTCTGCTGGCCAGATGGGGAGAGGGCATTCTAAGCAATAAACCATAGGTGGTTTAAAACACACACCAAAAAAACCTATTTGATATTTGGCTATCTTTAAAAGTAAGAAAAGATTATTAGGTCAGGCAATTTAATCTCTTTAATATTTCCTAAGAGGTAGTCCTTGGGCTGGGCTTTCCAGGTGGCACTGTGGTAAAGAATCTACCTGCCAGTGCAGGCAGGAGACTCAGTTTCCATCCCTGGGTTGGGAAGATCCCCTGGAGAAGGAAATGGCAACCCACTCCAGTATTCTTACCTGGAAAATTCCATGGTCAGAGGACCCTGGTAGGCTATAGTCCATGGGGTCGCAAAGAGTAGGACACGACTGAGCGAATGAACGCACACACGCAGTCCTTGGGCTAGGCGAATCTGAATTACTCGAGGTGAGACTGTATTAAAATGCAGATTCCTGGGCCCCAGTACAGGCACACTGGCTTGGCATCTCTGAAGGTGGGGCCCTGGGATGTGCATCTTTAGCAAGTTTTCTGGGCAGTTCCGATACGCATGTAAGTTGGAGAATTACTACTGACGGTCCTCAGAAGAGTGTCTCTAAAAAGACTCCAAGGGGATTGGCTGCCTCTATTGCACATGGGTTGTGGGAATTGGCCCCTAGAGTCACCTGGAGGCTTGCTGCCCCTTGTGACATCTGGCTGCACCCCCAGACACACCACCAGGCATTTGGATCCACTGAAGTCTTCCCCTAGATTACGTTCACATACCCCTCTAGCAAGCTGATTCTCACTGCTTGCTCCTCAGACAGAAGGATGACAGTATCAAACCCCTGTGACCACCACCTACCCCCCACTGCATCCTAGAGCTGCCTGTCCCCTCCTCCCCTGTTGCCAGGACCATCCTCACTCCCCATCCTGTTTTCCTCTTGTCCTTCGCTCCTCACCATCAGGCGTGATTTCTCCCCCTTAGACAGGTGCTTGGGAGTGGAGGCACTGAGCAATCTCTAGGGAAGTACCAGGGGCCCTGCGGACTGAGGATCCGGACAGCACGTGGTGGCAGCAGATTAGTGAGGAGGGGCGGGGCCGGGAAGGCGGGCCCGACGGGGGACCGTGGGTTCCCAGAGGGTCACGGCAGCCCTCAGGGCCAGCACGAGGCAAGGTGGGGACCAGGGCGTGTGTTAGGAGCTCCGTGGAGAGGGGGTGCCTGGAGGCAGGCCATCTGGTCCCCTCCGTCCACAGCACAAGCATCTCTGAACGAATACCCTCACTTTCCCATGCCCTTCCTTTCCTTTTCCTTGTTCTGCTCCCACCCACCCCCCTCCAAACACCAGGGGTCAGGAGAACAAATGTATGAGCCGGTGTACTGCTGCCCCTCCTCACCCCCAGCCGGACCCCGACTGGTGACCGCCTCAGGCTCCCTCGCGCACACCATGGGAAGAGCCACGTGTCTGGTGGGGCTGGAGCCTGGGCTGGCACCTGCATTCTGTCTCCCCTTCACTTTCTCGCCCACCACAGGCTCTGCCAGGCCAGCCTCTGCCCCCTGGGTCCACCCACATTAACAATTGTGTAGGCTATGAAAATCTGGAGAAATTCCCACAATCAATGTTTCATCCATAGATAACAATTGAGTTTGACACTCCTATAGTCCAGTGGGCTGCCAAGTTTAAGGCCTGAGTCGATGGACATATATATTCAAACCACATTCTTTTGGTACCAGTGAAAATCCTAATAAAGTGTGAGAGTGAGTTGTTTGTCTCTGGGGGAAGTATGGGCTCAAATGCAAATCTTAAGAGATGGTACTAGGCAGTGGTAGACCAGTAATATTTTTTTTAAAAAAACATTTAACCATTTTTAAATACTTTTCCTTTTAAAATTTAAATTAAATTTAAATTAAAATTTAGGCACAGCTTGAGGACTTCCCTGGGGCATCTTAGTCACTTTGCCAGATCCCCAGGTTGGGAAATCTGTTGTGGGTCCTAGAACTTTCTTAACAGTGCAAGATTAAAAAAACTAAGATCATGGCATCCAGTCCCATCACTTCATGGCAAATAGATGGGGAAACAATGGAAACAGTGACAGACTTTATTTTCTTGGGCTCCAAAATCACTGTAGATGGTGATGGCAGCCATGAAATTAAAAGATGCTTGCTCCTTGAAAGAAAAGCTATGACCAACCTAAACAGCATGCTAAAAAGTAAAGACATTACTTTGCCGACAAAGGTCTGTCTAGTCAAAGCTGTGGTTTTTCTAGTAGTCATGTATGGATGTGAGAGTTGGACTATAAAGAAAGCTGAGCACCAAAGAACTGATGCTTTTGAACTGTGGTGTTGGAGAAGACTCTTGAGAGTCCCTTGGACAGCAAGGAGATCCAACCAGTCTGTCCTAAAGGAGATCAGTCCAGAATATTCGTTGGAGGGACTGATGCTGAAGCTGAAACTCCAATACTTGGACCACTGATGTGAAGAACTGACTCATTGGAAAAGACCCTGTTACTGGGAAAGACTGAAGGCAGGAGGAGAAGGGGATGACAGAGGATGAGATGGTTGGGTGACATCACCAACTCGATGGACATGAGTTTGAGCAAGCTCCAGGAGTTGGTGATGGACAGGGAAGCCTGGTGTGCTGTAGTCCATGGGGTCGCAGAGAGTCAGACACGACTCAGGGACTGAACTGAACTGACTGACTGAGGACTTCTCTGGTGGTTCAGTGGTTAAGACTCCATGCTTCCACTGCAGAGGGTACAGATTCCCCTGGTAGGGGAACTAGGATCTCAAGTGTATCACAATGTGAGCGACAAAATGCTGTTGGACTCAGGAAACTCAAACCTGGGCTCTGTAACAACCTAGAGGGGTGGGAAGGGGAGGGCAGGGGGAGGGAGGTTCAAGTGGGGGGGACATAAGTACACCTATAGGCGATTCTTGTTGATGTTTGGCAGAGACCAACTCTGTACTGTAGAGCAATTATCCTTCAATAAAAATAAATTAACTACAATTTTTTAAAAAAATTAGGCACAACCTAGAAAATGTTTAGCTTCACGAACTTTATTACAAAATAGACATTTCCGTTTTAGAGACAGTGACCCGGCACCTGGGCGTGAAGGGAAAGAGAAGTTCCAAGCAATGATATTCGTCTGTCAGTACAAGTATATTGTGGCCCCAACTTGCCACGGTTTTTTTTTTCTTTTTGTCATTTCAGGTGATTTTTAAAGCCAAGTCAAAATATTCTCCAGAATTACTCAAATACCGGTAAGTACCCCCTGAGGCAATTCTCTTTGTGGCTGCAGGTAACCGTTTTTCCAGCCAGGATTTTTACACATCACTCCTCTGTGACATGCCTGCTTGCCAGGGGTCAAGTTCACTTGTCACTGGGCCACCACTTACCAGGCCTTGCAGCATAATGGCCTTGATTAGAAACAAAAGTCTAGAAGGGACTTCCCTGGTGGTCCGGTGATTAAGGTTTGGCGCTTCCAATGGAAGACTCAGGTTGAATCCCTGTTGGGGGACTAAGATCCAACATGCCACGTGGAACTGCCAAAAGTAAAAAAAGAAATGAGAGTCTGGTTTCCTTCCTACCAGGGAGCAGAAAGGGAAGTAAGCCGTGCACATGGTGTTTAAACCTTTTGGAGGCACTTGGGATGGAACGGGCCTCAGCAGAAGGAAGAGGGGCTCCCTGAAGATGGCTGTGCAGCCAGGCAACCCCCTCCCCACCCTCTGGCTGCAGGTGCAGCTGAAATCTGGGCAGGGCTGAGTAAGAGAGGCTCATAATCTGGACCAGATTTCAGCCTGAAATCATAGGCTGAATTTATTGCAGGAGGTGGACTTGCATATTTTCCTGTGGGCAGGATCTGTTACTTGCCCCTGGTTTTCAGAGACCTGTTGACTTCCCCGTGGCTTGAATGGCCAGCCTCGGCAGAAGGGGAAGGGAGACAAGGTGTCAAGAAGGCATGAGACAGTCGCCACGTTAGTCAGGGTGTCTCAGGTCCCTGCCCAGGAGAGCTCGACTGTCCAGGCACACACTTCTGGGAAGCAGACTTTGGCCTCTTACCTTCTTGAGTCAAAGTGAAATTTTAATTATTTTATTACTTTACAAATATGTAAAACTATATTCCTATTATATTTTATTTAAATACGTTGAAAGGGAAAGTGTTAGTCACTCAGTCATGTCTGACTGTTTGCAACCCTGTAGACGGTAGCCCGCCAGGCTCCTCTGTCCATGGGTTTCTCTAGGCAAGAATACTGGAGTGGGTAGCCATTCCCTTCTCCAAGGGATCTTCCCAACCCAGGGATCGAACCCAGTCTCCTGCATTACAGGCAGATTCTTTACTGCCTGAGCCACCATTTAAACAGGTATCATCTTAAATTCACAATCACTGTTTATTTAAAGTTCTGAAAGTGTGTATTCTGATCCCCCTTTTGTATCCGAGGAAGCTGAAGTTCAGGAAGTTAGGTGACAGTGTACTCAGGCCAAGACACAAGTGATGAGACTTGTCTGCTATGTTTTTGTTTTTCATCTGATCTTGCTGTCTCCCTTCACTATTTAAAAAAAATTATAGAAGTCTAGTTGATTTATAATGTTGTGTTCATTTCTGCTATACGGCAGAATGACTTCTTTTGCATGTCCTTTTCTATGCTTGTGTATCACAAGATATTGAATATAATTCCCTGTGCTCTACAGTAGGACCTTGGTGTTTATCCTTCCTGTATATGCTAGGCTGGGTCTGCTAATCCCAGACTCCCAATCCTTCCCTTCCTCTTAGCAGCCACAATCTGTCCTCTTTGTCTGTCCCTTCACTGCGTTTTGAGAAGTTCAGTTCATGTTTCTGCCAGACTGTTGATTCTAAGAAGGTCAGTTTAAAGTAACAATACTTTACAGTCAGTCCTGTAAAGGATTCTGTATCCAAGGATTCCACACCTGTGGATACAGAGGGTGGGAGGGCCCGATATGCCTTATATGACATGAACTGCAGCATTCTCTGTAAGGGAGTTGAGTATCTTTGGGTTTCAGTGTTGGCTATGGGGGCCTGAAAGGTGTCCCTTGCAGATACCGAGTTATGATTGTATTAGGAAAACTTGGGGAGAGGTAGGAGGGGGAACATTAAGAATTGAGCTTGGATGTGGGCTTCAAAGGAGGCTGTTTGGAATGTGAGTTGATTTGGGCAGAGGCAGTGGTTCAAGACAAGAGCTTTGGAACTTAGCTGAACAAGAGCTGTATCAGAGGCTGGAGGAGGGAATGTATTTCCCGAGGAAGAGGATGCAGGGCAGAGAGACAAGGACACTGTCACTCTGGGGGACGAAGAGGAGGAAGAGGGACCAGGGGCCTCCAGAGACAGGCTCAGATGGGGCAAGGATGGAGCGGGGGTCACGCTTTTGAGGTCAGGGAGAAGATGGTGGGAGGAGGCGGGGCCAGCAGGGGGTACCTGCAGAGGAGGTGATGAGGCAGGAGGTGACACCTTTTTCTAGAAGTTGCTCTTGAGAGTGAGGATGACTCCTCACTCCTCCCTGGGTGACATCGGAGGAGAAGCACAAGGTCTCTTGAGTTCTCACGGCAGCTCTTGGAGGCAGGAGAGGAGGGGTCAGCTCTGTGTTACAAATGTGAGGGCACCGCCGCCCTGAGTGGCCGAGGACCTGCCTGGGGTCGCATCTGTGGCCCTTGCTCTCGGGGTCACACCCGGCAGACGCAAGCAGAGCAGTTGAGGTGAGGAGGGGGCGCAGAAGCTCAGTGGGTAGCCGGGGGCCACACTGCAGCAGTGTGGGTGGTAAGCGGGGTCTGGTTGTCTTTTGCTTTCTCTGTTCCCAGTACTGTCCCATGGAGTTTTCACAGTGAAGAAAGAGGAGTAGGAATGTATATCCCCCATAGTGGTTAAGACTTTACATTCCTATTCAGGCAGTGCGGGTTCAATCCCTGGTCAGGGAGCTGAGATCCCACAAAGCCTTGTGATCAGAAAACCAAACATAATGCAGAAGCAATATTGTAACAAATTTAATAAAGACTTTTGGGCTTCCCAGGTGGCGCTAGTGGTAAAGAACCCACCTGCCAGTGCAGGAGATGTCTTGTAAGAGACACAGGTTCAATTCCTGGGTCCAGAAGCTACCCTGCAGGAGGGCATGGCAACCCACTCCAGTATTCTGCGAATCCCATGGTCAGAGGAGCCTGGCAGGCTACAGTCCACGGGGTCACAAAGGGTCGAACAGGACTGAGCATAGCATTTAAAACAACGCCCAGGAGGAGTCCTTTGGAAAAGCTCAATGTCCATATTATGCTTCTTTCTGGAGGTTCATTGCCGTCACAGGGATAGAACGTGTGCATCCACACCAGCAAGGGGTCAAGAACAGAGGGCTGATTCCAGAGGTTCTAGATGCTTCCAAATTGTGTTCCTCACAGGACAGCAGACAGTAATAGAACAATAAGAAATAGGGCTTTTGAGGAAGCAGATTGCAGATTTTTGGTGACTCCCAGTTGGTCCTGCCTCTGTCTCTCTCTACGTCCCTGATTCCCCCCATCACTATGGGAACATGTAGAGAGCTAATGAAAACCTTCATAATTTAAGGTTTTGTGGCTAATTTACCATGAGCTACATGCTGTGCTAATGCCCTATGTCCATTCTCTCCCCTTGCCTCAGCAACCCTTTGGGCAGATGCAGACGTATTCAACTTAAATGGTCTGTTTTGTTAAGTTTAAAAAAATAGTGTAGGATATGACTTAAAAAAAAAATTTTTTTTTATTTTTAAATGATGATTGCCTTACAATGTTGTGTTGGTTTCTGCCATACAACATGTGAGTGAGCCATAAGTACACATACGTCCCTTCCCTCTTGACCTCCCTCCATCTCCCCATCCCATCCCACACCTCTCGGTTATCACAGAGCACTGGGTGAGCCGCCTGTGCTCTGTAGCGACTTCCCACTGGCTTTCTGTTTTACATATGTTAATATATACATTTTAGCGCTATTTTCTCAATTCCTCCCACCCTCTCCCATCCCCTGCTGTGTCCACAAGTCTGGTCTCTATTCCTGCCCTGCAGATAGGTTCATCAGTACCTAAATGGTCTGTTCTTGAGCCGAACCAATATTTGCTGCTTGAGTGATACCTACCTGAAGTAAACACAGTGCGGACCTTCCTAGAGAGAAACTTGAACTGATTCCCATGTTGGTAAATGTGAGAAGTGTCTCCCTAGACCTTGCCCAGGTCACGTAGGCAGCATGCAGCTCGGAGAAACTGCAAGTTAAAAATGGCCACCACCACTGCCCTGAGGCTAGTGCAGGGTTCCCAGCCTCCAGGATCTAATAATGCCTGATGATCTGCGGTGGAACTGATGTAATAATAATAGAAATAAAGTGCACAATAAATAAAATGTGCTTGAATCATCCTGAAACCATCCCCCACCCTTGTCCATGGAAAAATTGTCTTCCACAAAATTGGTCCCTGGTGCCCAAAAGCTTGGGGAGTGTTCCCATGCAAAGGGGGTGCTGCCCAGAATTGATGACTTTTGAGGGGTAAAACCCTTTTAAAACATTATCTCACCTAATCCTCAGAAACTGCCGGCAAGGTCGGTGTCATTTGGGCTGTTTTCTGATGGTGACACTAGGGCTTACCCAGGGCCACCTTGCCCAGGCTCTCAGTATGCAGAATGGCTGGTGCTCCCCCCGAACCCCAGCCCTGCCTCGGAGCCCGGCCCTGCTCCACCATCCTTGTGAGCGGCGCATGCATCAGCCCACGTCCACACAGCCCCTCCGACCCTCACAGCCCCCCGGGGAATGGGGGGGCGGGGCTCAGGTAAAGGACCTGCCCTACTGTAGTTGATTTGTCATTTAAATCTGGGGACCCTCCAAAGTCCCAGCCCTTTTCTTCACTGCAGTATAAATGTTGATTTACAGTGTCGTGCCAGGCTCTAGTGTACAGCCGAGGGGCTCAGTTACACACACATATACGTTCTTTTTTTATGTTCTTTTCCATTAAGATTTACCACATGATATTCGGTAGAGTTCCCTGTGCTATGCGGTAGGACCTTGTTGTTTATCCATTCTAAATGTAATAGTTTGTATCTACCAACCCCAAACTCCGAGCTCTTAAGTGTTAACTTTGGCATGTTCTGCTTCTAGCATTTAACCAAAAACCAACCAAACAAAAAAACCTCAAAAATCCACAGTTTCCTTGGGGATTGATCTAGAAAGTACAGGAAGCTTGTCGGGAAGGCTGCCTTCAGCCTCTCTCTCTTTTCCTTCCAAGGTTACCCCTCTACCTGGCCTCGCTCTTCATCAGCCTTGTTTTCCTGTTGGTGAATTTAACCTGTGCGGTGCTGGTGAAGACCGGCACCTGGGAGAGGAAGGTGATCGTGTCCGTGCGCGTGGCCATCAACGACACGCTCTTCGTGCTGTGTGCCGTCTCCCTGTCCATCTGCCTCTACAAAATCTCCAAGATGTCCTTGGCCAACATTTACTTGGAGTCTAAGGTAAGGTGGACACGTGGTTGAGATCCTACCATTAGACTTATTCTCAAAAGAGTTTTCTGGAATTTCCCTGGTAGTCCATTGGTTATGATTTGGCACTCCTAATGCAGGGGCACAGGTTCTATCCCTTGTTGGGGAACTAAGATCCCACATACTGTGCAGTGAGGCTCACCTCCACCAAAAAAAGTTCCCTGGTTTGCAACAGAAAACAGAAATCAACCGATGCCTCTCCCACCTGACCTCTTGCAAATGATTAGCTGTGGTGTGATTGCCAAGACACAGAGCCATGTAGTTCGTTGACCTTTGTGAGAAGAATTGACTCGTGGTGGCTCGAGGTTTACTGGGGTGTGCAGAGTTCCAGGCAGAGAGGTAAATCTCCGGTTTCTGGATACAGAGGTTTAAGTGAGAGTTTAGAGGACCTGTGGCATTGACTGTGCCACTAATATTGTTAGAAACAGACAGCCTGTATTCTGTTTGTTCCTTGCCCTTTTATAAGCACTCTGCATGTAGCTAGGACTGTAACCTTCAAAATTCAGGGGGAGTAGGTGTCACCCACCTAGGGAAACGGAGGCACGGGACGTCAGAGGCTCGGCCTGGGTTGCGCAAGCCAGGAGACCCAGAGCCATGGTGTGGCCGCAGCAGCCTGGCTCTGGGCTCTGGGCTCTGGGCTCTGGGCTCTGTCCTCTCCACCACCGGGTCGTCGTGCAGAGACACTCAGACCCAGGAGCACCCCTGCCTTGACTGTGCCCCTGAGAGGGCCCCCCTTAACAGGGGGCGCTGCTCCCGGGCTTCAGGACAGCAGCCTCTCATGGTGACGGTTCAGAGATGGGGTCAGACAGACCGTGTGTTGGGCCGCACCCCATAGGCCTGCAAGGCCAGGTCATGCCCAGTTTCAGAAGAAAGAGCCTGGAGTCAGCCATGGCTTAATGGATTGGGGATCTTACAGGTCTGAAGCAATGTCATGCAGCAACATTCCACATGTGCAGTGGACGGCAGCAGGACGTGCTGGCAGGCTTTGCGCCAGTGTCGGGGTTGGGGAAGGAGGATGAGCAGTTGCAGAGGGAATTGATGTCAGGTGTGATCCGTGGCTCAATGGTAAAGAATCTGTCTGCAGTGCAGGAGATGCTTGGGACACTGGTTTGATCCCTGGGTTGGGAAGATCCCCTGGAGGAGGGCATGGCAACCCACTCCAGTGTTCTTGTTTGGAGAATCCCATGGACAGAGGAGCCTGACAGCCTGCAGTCCATGGGGTCACACACAGTCAGACATGACTGAAGCAACTGAGCACGCATGGGCTTGTCAGTTACCAGGGAAAACAGCAGAGGGGCATGACACTCGCCACCACTTTGATAAAAAGAGTCACCAGCTGGGCCTGGGGACAAGTCCATAGGAAGGTCAGTCATGTGAATGGGTGTAGGAGAAGCAGGCGCTGGTCGGGCAGGGCATGTGCAGAGACCAGTAGAACAGTCCCCTTGAGTGGCCTGACCACACCCTGAGAGGGCAGCCCCTGCACATTCTCTGGTTTCACTGCTGTGCCCCCAGCCCTGGAGTCCCTGTTTTCTTCTTTCCTTCCCCCAGAGTTACAGACAGGGGCAGATGTGCTGCCTGTGCGGTGGTTCTGAAGTGCCTCTCACCAGCCTGGTCCCCAGTTCCCCCTCATTAGGAGCCTGGTGATGTGTGGAGTTCACAGTGCATGCTCTGGGCTCTCACTGGCCATGGGCCCCTGGCCCCACCAGCACGTTGCCCACTGAGCCTTGGTTTTCTCACATGTAAGGTGGTTGAGTGATTTCATAGCTCCTCTGCTTCTGAAATTCTGTGGTGCCGTAACCCTTGCCAGGGAACCCATATGATTGTAATGTTGCTGGTCTGAAGACCTGAGCAGCTCTGCATCCTAGGATACTTGGTCTTCAGCAGCCATCAGTAGATTAAAATCTGTGCCTCCAACTTCAAAATTACAAAGCCTTCTTCATCAAGGTAGCCTGTGATTTGCCTGAGCTCTTGCAAAATCTGAAAAGTTAGTGTGCAAGGTCCTTTTTTCATTGATAAATGTTGACAAATTTTATACTTGACTTTGCCTTAACTTTATTATTTACACTGTCTCCTGTAAAAGGTCTATTCAAGGCTTTTTGAAAACAGAATTATGGGGACTTCCCTGGTGATCCAGTGGTTAAGACTCCATGCTTCCAGTGCAGAGGGCTCAGGTTCGATTCCTGGTCAGGGAGCTAAGATGCTGCATGCCTTGTAGTGCGGCCAAAACAAAACAGAACTGTGGTTTTAATAGGAGGGGTCACATTTTAGATTGTCAGATTTAGATCACCTCTGTGCAAACAATCTGATAGACTACCATTGGCAAAATAAAATAATAGCTTAGATTTAGTTAGTGACTTCCAAGTGCAAAACTCAAAAATGAATTTCAGTTTTTTGGTTAACTGTTTTTAGCACCATGGCTTCCCTGGTGGCTCAGTGGTAAAGAATCCACGTGCCAGTGTGGGAGACACAGGTTTGATCCCTGGGTCAGGAAGATCTTCTGAAGAAGGAAATAGCAACCCACTCCAGTATTCGTGCCTGAGAAATCCCAAGGACAGAGGAGCCTGGTGGACTACAGTCCACGGGGTTGCAAAAGAGCGGGACACGGCTTAGTGACTAAATGACAACAACTGTTTCTAGTTAGAGCTCATTTAGCTAACTTTGGACACTGATAGCTTCATTAGTGGGGGCACAGATGACCAATTTTCACGCACTCCCAAGCTCTGAATCACACTGGGGCTCCAGCCTTCCCAGCCTAGGATAGTTGGGTCCTGAAGACATGCTCCTCACCCAGAGCCACTGTCCACAGCTCCACTGGCCCCAGACTGCCGTCCCTCGGAGGTGGTTTTGTTGTCTCCAAGCCAGGGGGCAGGCCCTGGGCTCATAAGCTCAGAGCATCCTTGGAGCTGAGCAGCGGCACTTAGAGATTTAATCAAATAGGTCATCTGACTGTCTTGCTCTTCCAAGCCTAGGTCTTAGGCAAATAGTTCATATTTTCAGGTTTTGAAGCATCTCTCTGAAGAGAATTGGAAGTTTTAGGGTGGGCATGCAGTGAGGGGAGGCTTGCAGTTGGGTTGAAAGTCTGGGAGCAGAAGAGAAGCTGGGAGGGCTTAGCCATTCTGAACACCGGCCATGCTTGGGAGGGGGCTGTGGTCTTGGGCCCGGATCGGGGACCCCGCTCACGGTTCCGGCTTTTCCAGGGCTCCTCCGTGTGCCAGGTGACCGCCGTCGGCGTGACTGTCATCCTGCTCTACACCTCTCGGGCCTGCTACAACCTGTTCATCCTGTCGTTCTCTCAGAGCAAGAACGTCCATTCCTTTGATTACGACTGGTACAATGTGTCAGACCAGGTCAGTGGGCACTGGATCCTTGCTTTGGCAGCATGCCTTGTGGCAGAGAGGTGTCAGCTCCTTGCTCCTGCTGCTAAAGAGCTGGGTGACCTTGGGAGTCACTTAACTGGGTGGTGTCTACATCCTCACCTGTCAAATGGGATCACAGTACCTGCCTTATTCCAGCTCACATGTCTTCTGAGAAAATTAGAAAACAGACACACTTCTTGCTACATTCTGGGGATTTTGTCAAGCAGTACTTAAAATTTTTAAGTGTTTTTATATAAATGTAATTAAAGGGTGAAATTTGCAAAGATAAAAATGAATTGTATTCAGGTTAGAAAACACATAAAACAATGAATTTTTTTTTTAATGGAGCAGTAAGCGAAAGAAATGTAGACAAAAGTGACCAAGAATATTAAGGGGTTAGAAAGAGCCCATTTTACATCTCAGTATGAAGCTCTTACTTTTTTATAATGTACTCTAGAAATTCATAAACAAATGAACAAAGGTAATGAAATATAATATGGCATCTATGTTCGCAAAAGCTCAAAATATAAACGACTGAGAGGGGAATTCCCAGGCTGTTCAGTGGTTAAGACTCTGTGCTTCCACTGCAGGGGACATGGGTTCAGTCCCTGCTTGGGGAATTAAGATTCCACATGCTGCATGGTATGGTCAAACAGAAAGAGAAGGGAAAAAAAGAATGAGCATTAATCAGTATTCTCTAATTTGAAAAGTGTCATTTCTTTGTCTCAGCCCTGGACAACGTGCCAGAGACACAAAAATGAACAGACCCATCCTTCCATGTAGGAGTTTATGTCCACTGAAGAGAAGAGCCACACAGAGAAGCCATTATAGCAAAGAAATAGAAGCTTCTATAGTAGGAGTTTACTGGGTTGAATTGCAAATGCTCCTGAGATTTTCCTGGGTAAACACTGAATATCCAACGATAGACAAATCCACCTCTAAAATCCCAACAGTGGTCAAACCTTGAATTAACACTCTGGAGGAAAGAAGAAAATGGCCGTGATAAGTTAAAACTGATGGCAGGGACTTCCCTGGTGGTTCAGTGGTTAAGCCTTCACCCTCCCAGTGCAGGGGACTAGGGTTCCATCCCTGATCAGGGAACTAAAATCCCACATGGTGCAGCTTAAATAGATAGACAGACAGATTCTACCAAAAAACAACAACAGCTGAGGGCAAGATGAAATCTGTAAGAGGCTCGTACAAAGCATTAGACTGGATTCAAACCACAACAATAATAATCACCACCAATCAAACCAACAGCACAAATGTAGGATGGGAGGAAGGTGGGCAGGGCACTGGTGGAGCTGTGCCCTGTTGTGAGAAATAAATACGTACAAATCTAAACGTTCAACAGTGATAAATTAGAGACTTATTCATGATACACAGAGGATTTTGATCATGGTAACATGTAGGTGCAATTGACTACTTTAATAATTTCTAAGTGCACAGTCCAGTGGCATTAAAGTACATTCACTGTGTCATGCAACCATCACCACCATCCATCTGCAGAACATCCTCATCTTCCCAATCTGAGACTCTCTCCCCATTAAACGACAAGGATTTGGTTTTAACAAAATACTTATTTCAGTGCTTCTTTCAAGTAAGAGCTTATAATTACAGTGAATTTAAAATATCACAAAGTCTTATCACAAACAACCCAATTCTGTTGTTTTGGGTGGCTGTTTGTTTATAGATATCTAGGTCTATGTGTTGCAGCCAGAATAACCTAGGAGCAAGCAGATGGCCCCCAGTTGCAGGTTATTTGTGTAGAATGGTAGAAGCAGACACAACACACCTTTGAGACATGTGGGTGGAGTCTCAGTGCAAGAGTTTGAGTCATCTTTCTGAAGAGGAACGAGATTGGCTTTGGGTACTGTACTTTAGGCTTCCCAGGCAGCGCTCGTGGTAAAGAACCTGCCTGCCAATGCAGGAGACCTGGGTTCCATCTCTGGGTCAGGAAGATCCCCTGGAGAAGGGCATGGCAAACCCACTCCAATATTCTTGCCTGGAGAATCCCATGGACAGAGGAGCCTGGCGGGGTACAAGTTCATGAGGCCACAAAGAGTCAGACAAGACTGAAGCGACTTAGCGTGCATGCATATACTTTAAACATAATGTGGTAGAGAAGGTAAGAGGATTCTGTTTAGGGGATTGCCCCTTTATGGTTTGATGACGTTTCTGTCTTCCTTTGAAATGCCGGCCTTTCTGATAGACTTGCCCAGAAGTAGCCTCACACACCATCCCTCTGCCCTTCAGAGAGAAGAGCACTGCTACATCCCATCTGCTCAACTGTCTCACTGGTCCAGGAGGCCAGCATCCTGGGCTGGGAGGCTTTTCTAGACAGTCTAACCTGCTGTAGGCTTTAATAGCATGTGGTTAATGTGAAGAGAAATTTAAAAACTGACACATTTATTCCAAATATGAGACTAAGGCTTACTATTGTGATATGCTGCTCTTGAGAACTGGGAGGTGGGGGACTTCCCTCATGGTCCAGTGGCTAAGACTGCCTTCCCAATGCAGGGTGCCTGGGTTCGATCCCTGGTGAGGGAACTAGATAGATCTCACATGCTGCACCTAAGACCTGGTGCAGCCAAATAAGTAAATAAATATTAAAAAATTAAAAGAATTGGGAGAGGGACTTCCTTGGTGGTCTAGTAGTTAGAATTCCATGTTTCTAATGCAAGGGGCACAGGTTTGATTCCTGGCTGGGGAACTAGGATCCCGCATGACACACAGTGCAGCCAGAAAATGATTTTAAAAACGAATTGGGAGAAGGCAGCAGAACATTATCATTATTCAATTGTTGAAGAAGAGTCAGCATAGAGACTTTATTTGGATGTAAGGAAGATTCCTGGAGGGTGAAGGAATGAAGCATCAGAGATTGGCAGTTACTGTCTTTTGAGTATTTCGAAGAAGATAATTGTCTATCCTGGGACTTCCCTGGTGGTCCAGTGGTTAAGAATTTGCCTGCTAATGCAGGGGACGTGGGTTCAATCCCTGGTCCCAGAAGACCCACCATGCCAAGGGGCAGCTGAGTGGGTGTGCCACAACTACTGAGCCTGCAAGCCCTAGAGCCTCCGCTCTACAAGAGAACCCACTGCAGTGAGAAACCTGAGCGCCATAGCTAGAGAGTAGCCCCCACTCACCGTGGCTAGAGAAAAGCCCATGCATTAATGAAAACACAGCAGTCAAAAACTAAATAAAACATTTTTAAAATTATCTATCCATCATGGTTTAAATAACTGCCCTCCAACCCCGCCGCCCCGCATCCCACCACCAAGGTCTGGCACAGTTGTATTAACAGTACCTGATTTCAACATGCGTGTTTTAGGGGGAAGAAATTACACTGTATTAGATTTAGTCTCTGTCATAATAGAGCTGAATCAAACTTAATTCTGTCCTCAGTCTGGTGACCCTCCATTTTTCCTCTCTCTTTTCAATAGGCGGATTTGAAGAATCAGCTGGGAGATGCTGGATACATAGTATTTGGAGTGGTCCTCTTTGTGTGGGAACTCTTACCTACCACCTTAGTAGTCTACTTCTTCCGAGTCAGAAATTCTACAAAGGACCTTGTAAGTAAACCACTTTGTATTTGCAGAAAGTGAGTGTGAAAGTCGCTCAGTTGTGTCCGACTCTTTGCGACGGTATGGACTATACAGTCCATGGAATTCTCCAGGCCAGAATTCTGGAGTGGGTAGCCTTTCCCTTCTCCCAGGGATATTCCCAACGTAGGGATCAAACGCAGGTCTCCTGCATTGCAGGAGGATTCTTCACCAGCTGAGCCACAAGAGAAGCTCAAGAATACTGGAATGGGTAGCCTATCCCTTCACCAGCAGATCTTCCTGACCCAGGAATTGAACTAGGATATCCTGCATTGCAGGTGGATTCTTTGCAGAAAACATCTCCTAATTCTAATGACAAAGCCTACAGTTGGAATTTTTTCTTAGATTTTTGATAGCTTCTTCCATCTTATTCTAATATGAAAAGTTCCTTTGTTTAATTGAGACTTTTTTCCATTCATTATCTTTTGAGGGAAATTTGTTTTTCAGTTTAATTTTACACACACAAAAAAATTGCATCTTGAATCCTAGAGATAGTGATTAACTTTTTTCCTAATGAAATAGCTGCCTCACTAGTATTTGTGCCTTGACTTGCTATGAACTAAATATAGAAGCTTTTATTTTAGCCAAGGAAAATAGAGAATGGTAATTCAGCTCTTCACCCCTGTGTTGTGCTGGATGGTGATTAAGAGAGGGGGTGGTAGAGAATACAGCTTTATTGTGAAGAATGCTTAAATCACTCCCCGAACTCAGTCACATTTCTGGTCAACCAGCTTCATATAAATGTCCTTATGGGAGTGGGGCAGAAAATGCAAAACCTGGTAGTGTGAGGGAGCCTGTGGAAGCTTTGCTGCATGAACTGTTCCACCCAGAGGAACTCGTGGTAGAATAGTGATCTGTGAAGCCCACAGAAAATGTGTGTGTGTGTGACTCGCTTGGTCGTGTCCGACTCTCTGTGACCCCATGGACTGTAGCCCGCCAGGCTCCTCCGTCCATCCGATTCTCCAGGCAAGAATACTGGAGTGGGTTGCCATTCCCTTCTCCAGGGGATCTTCAGACCCAGGGATCGAACCCAGGTCTCATGCACTGCAGGAAGATTCTTTACCGTCTGAACCCCCAAGGAAGCCCACAGAAAAGTAGAGTGATGCTTTTTGGTCAACGTGAGCACAGTGTGGGTGGCAGGGAAAGCATTGGTTTTCATGGCCAACTTGTGTTTTATCTTGTCTATTTCTTATTCATCTCTGATGAGCCAGGAATAGGAAAAAATAGAATAAAAGACTGGAATGGGGTGGTTGGTGGAGAACTGCAGCCTGACCCATGAGCCCCTGAAGATAGAGTGGCAGTGGGCACCATTTTCCAGATCTGAGGGTCAGTTTCCTCTCCTTTTGCCATTTTTAGCTTCAGAACAGCAATTCTATGCCCCCGCTGACTTTGCCTGACATTGGAAACACCTGGAAGCTTCTGTAAAGTCAGACTCAAATTCTTCCGCATTGGTGGCAGAGAAACATATGGAGAGTGGGCAGTGGACTCTAGGCTAGAGTCCAGTGCATTATTTTTCTTCCTTTTCTGAAGAAGTTGAAGTTTTCTGGGAGGAGCGTCTTAACAAAAATCCCGCTGTTCTCTATGCTTCTCCTTGGCTTTCCATAGCCTTCTCACCACTTCCTAGTATGTCAGAGGCTTAGCAACTATACTTCCAAAATCCAAGGCAGTCTGAAGGATAGAGTGGACATCTGAGTCCTAAGGAGTGAAAGACTGTCATTCAAAGTACTATTTTATTAACACATTATTGACTGGAGATGCATTAATATGTCTTTTGTTACCCAAACATTATTGACCAGAGACAACATGTTTTTAGAGAGTGATACAGTTGACATCACTGTGCCAAGTTGTTAGAGCTTAAAATTAATCAAGGATTCCTTCTATAGCTTATGATTGTCATTATCATTCACATTTTGCTCCATTAGATTTTTGTTCCAACCCTGTGTATATTATAAATGCAAATTTATTACTGTAAAATTTTCAAAATGATGCATCTCGAAATTTTGAATGAAGAATTTTTCAGTGAATTTTATGCAGATCCTTTCTCTGATTATCTGAGTGACCTGTATACTAGTGTCTCAAAAGATGATAGTTCTTCAAAATACAGTTCTGATTCAGACATTGTGAATATTAGTCCAAAAGAAGACAGAAAGCCTAAGTGATTGGTTCTGATATGGAAAGTGAAAATGAAGCTCACGGTCTGGAGGAGACTTTACAGGTGTGACAGGTGTAATTACTGAATATAACAACCCACAAAGTGTTAGTGAAATAGCAGAATTAATTTTTGGCTGACCAAAATAAAAATCACTTAGTTTCTACAAAATTCCCTGGTAAATAATGAGTTAAATGAAGACAGAATAAAATGGATAGTTCATCTGTCCTCTCAGGTCGCATTATCCAGGGAAATATGCAGCCTTAACACACCCTATGTGTATATGGGGTTACTTGGCTCTTGTGTTTGAATATATCTACTGTTTAGGGTATTATCTAGAGCAGTGGTTCCCAAACTTTTTGGCCTTAGGATACTTTGTACTGATACATTATTAGTTGTTATTTGTTTATTGAGGTATAATTGATTTAGTTATGTTGCAAGATGATCACCACAATAGGTCCAACTAATGTATTACCACACATAGTCTACAAATTTTTGTGTATGTGATAGGAACTTCGAAGATCTACTCTTTCAGCTACTTTCAAATATGCAGTACAGTATTAACTATAGTCACCATGCTGTATGTGAATCCTCATGACTCATTCATTTTTATAACTGGAAGTTTGTATCTTTTGACCCCTTTCACCCATTTCGCCCACCTCCTTCCTATCTCAGGCAGCCACCAATCTGTTCTCTGAATCTGTGAGCCTGGTGTTTGTTTTTAGATTCCCTATATAAGTGAGATGATATGCAATTTATCTCTTTTTACCTTTTTCTAGTTGACTTATTTCACTTAACATAGTGCCCTCAAGGTTCAACCATATTTTTGCAAATAGTGAGATTTCATTCTTTTTAAAAAAATGTAGTATAGTTGATTTCCAGTGTTGTATTAATTTCTGCTGTACAGAGAAGTGACTCAGTTATCCATATATGTATTCTTTATCATATTCTTTGCCATTGTGGTTTATCAGGAGGTTTCATTCTTTTTATGACTGAATATTTTGTTTGCGTGCATATCAGTTTCTTTATCCTTTCATGCATTGGTGGACATTTGGTTTGTCTCCGTATCTTGGCTGTTATAAATAATGCTTCAGTGAACATGGGGATGTGTATATCCTTTTGAATTAATATTTTCATTTTCTTCAGATAAGTATGCAAAAGAGGAACTGCTGGATTATGTGGTAGTTCTGTTTTTAATTTTTTGAGGAACCTCTATAGTGATTGCATTAATTTATTTTCTCACCAACAATACAAAATGATTCCCTTTTCTCTACATCCTCATTAACACTTTTCTTTTTGATAGTAGCTATTCTGACAGGTGTACAGTGGTACCATTTGTTTTTGCTATTGAGTTGTATGAGTTCTTTACATATTTTGTGTATCAACTCCTTATCTTGTCTAGGACTTGCAGATATTATCTCCCATTTGGTAGGTTGCCTTTTCATTTTGTTAATGGTTTTCCTTTGCTGTGCAGAACCTGTTTAGTTTGATGTAGTCCCACTTGTTTATTTTTTATTTTGTTTCTTTTGCTTTTGGAGTTAGACCCCAAAATCATCATCAAGATGAATGTCGAGGAACTTACGGCCAATCCTTTTTTCTAGTTTTATGGCTTCACGTCTCAATGCAAGTCTTCCATCCATTTGGAGTTAATTTTTGTGTATGATGTAAGATTATAGTCCAGTTTTCCCAGCACCATTCATTGAAGAGACTGTTCTTTCCTTAGTGCCTCTTCTTGACTGGTTTGTGGTAAATTAGTTGACCGTATATTCATAGGTTTCTTTCTGGGCTCTCTTTACTGTTCTGTTGATCTATGTGTCTTGTTTCTATGCCAATACCATAGTGTTTTGATTACTGTAGCTTTGTAAAATAGTTTGAAATCAGGGGGCATGGTGCCTACTCCAGCTTTGTTCCTTTTGTTCAAGATTGCTTTGGCTATTTGGGGTCACATTGATAAGTTATTGAGTACACCAACAAGCTAGTTTGGAGCTGTGTATATGTGTAATTTTAAAAATATTTGTTAATTAATTATAAATAAACCCATAATGTGTTACCATAATTTTTTTATGAAAAAGAACTATATTCTCCAAAACAAATTAGTGAGAAGAGTTCAGTTCAGTTCAGTCACTCAGCTGTGTCCGACTCTGCGACCCCATGGACCACAGCACGCCAGGCCTCCCTGTCCATCACCAACTCCCAGAGTTCACTCAGACTCCTGTCCATTGAGTCAGTGATGCCATCCAACCATCTCATCCTCTGTCGTCCCCCTCTCCTCCTGCCCTCAGTCTTTCCCAGCATCCAGGTCTTTTCAAATGAGTCAGCTCTTTGCATCAGGTAGCCAAAGTATTGGAGTTTCAGCTTCAACATCAGTCCTTTCAATGAACACTCAGGACTGATCTCCTTGAGGATGGACTAGTTGGATCTCCTTGCAGACCAAGGGACTCTCAAGAGTCTTCTCCAACACCACAGTTCAAAGGCATCAATTCTTTGGTGCTCAGCTTTCTTTATAGTCCAACTCTCACATCCATACATGACTACTGGAAAAACCACAGCCTTGACTAGACAGACCTTTGTTGGCAAAGTAATGTCTCTGCTTTTTAATATGTTGTCTAGATTGGTCATAGCTTTCCTCCCAAGGAGTAAGCATCTTTTAATTTCATGGCTGCAGTCATATCTGCAGTGATCTTGGAGCCCAAAAAAATAAAGTCAGCCACTGTTTCCACTGTTTCCCCATCTATTTCCCATGAAGTGATGGCACCAGATGCCATGATCTTAGTTTTCTAAATGTTGAGCTTTAAGTCAACTTTTTCACTCTCCTCTTTCA